TGGATGCGGGACGTAGGTTCGTGGTGGTCACCCTGGCCGAAGCCGAGGCTATACGGGGGTGGATACACCACAGACGGATGGACACAGCCATGGCACTACGTAACCTAGGGGCACATTTCGAGCCGTTCGATGAAGCTGGAAAATATGCAACCACGGGTTGGGACAAACTGTTGGCGATAGTCGGCGTGCAACCGAGGGTGGCACAGGCCTGCTTGAAGTGGTTCAACTCGGAACATGGGTACACAGACGCAGAACGTGGGTTACTGAAAAGTGTGTTTAAAGGGGTGACAGAGAAAATGTGTGAAGAATACTTTGTCAGTCTGAGTGACACCAGGTGTTGTCCCAAACGTGTGGTGTAACAGTTGCACCTATATATCCCCCCATGTCGCTTAGTGATGAGGAACATATACGTTATTTGTGGAAGAATGTGAATAGTTTGAGGTGGATATTTCAATGGCGAAGGTTTGTGGTTGTAATGGCAAAGGCCAACATAAGAAGCTTACTTGTCCCCCGGGTAACCTGAAAGAATGTATTGACTGGATTCTGAGGGTGACTAATAAGGATGGGCAACAGAATGGTGGTGATTGTAAGAAACTTGGAGAGGAGGTTGCGAAGTTACTCGAAGAAGCTCAGAAGGATGCCAAAGCGAAACTTGAAAAGGATAAAAATTTGCTTGAAGCAGTAAAACAAAAGTTGAAAGATGGTACATTGATCAAAGATTTGGCCGAGAAGTTGCAAAAGTTCATTGGATGGAAGGATGGTAATGGTGACTTGACCGGTGATGGTATTGGTAACAGTAATGGTGGTAAAGGTGGTGGTGGTACTAACAATAAATACGAATCATCTTATAAAGATGCCAACTGGGAGCAATGTAATAGTGACCACATCACTTGCGCCACGATCTTCCTCGGCACTATCCCCGTGATCTTCAGTGGTTTGACCTATTTGTATTGGCAGTGTAATGAGAGTGGTCAACGTTGGTGTAAGGGCATGTACAAAATCCACGACACTTCCAATGCTCTTGGCATCTATTTCGTGTGTTGTGGTTACGATAGTAAACAACTTAATCGGAAAGGTTCTGGTGGCATCGACAATATCACTGGTGATTACATCGCCGGATTGCTCAACAATGTCCCGGAGTTCAACGAATTCAGTTCCCTAGATGGAGGCACTTCAACCCAAGTATCGTATTCTGCCTTCATAGGTGGTCTGCTTAAGCATTCGGGGTGCTATGCTAAGGAAGCGACAACAGAGGGGTTTACTACCCATCCCCTATCGTGGCTCTACATATGCTCCACATACTATTTTCAATCGCAATTCAACAATGCTGGTACCCATGTTCCAACCACCATTAGAGAAATGCTATATTGGCTCATGGCCCTTCCCTATAGTGGGTGTTTCCCATTGGCAACAGAAGATATTAAACAGGGTATTGATAATATTACTGAAAATGCTGACATTAGTGGTGAGGAGAATGGTGGTAGTGATAGCATTGAATTCATTGTGGGTCCTACCTTAAAGGATAGCGACCCTTTCGATTGCTATCTATCCACATCGTGCCACTACGCCGGTGTAGTACTATGCACAATACAAGGTACACTAATAACCAATGGTATGACTAAAACTGTCAATAAGAAACTAACGCTTACTGATATCTACTCTAATACTGCTTTCAACTTTAATTATCCCACTACAGCTAATGCATTATTCCGTGTTCTATGGGATATCATTTACTTTTTATTGTCTCAATTATATTTCCTCAAAAGACAATGTAAATTCCCCTGGGGAAATGGTCGTGGTTGGCAGTATTGTAGATATGGTGGTGATGTAAAGTGTGTTGGTTGTTCATCCTGGATTTGCACTGCCAAATGTGGTACTCACTCCACCAATGGTAAATGCAATCAACCCCAACAACACACCAACAATTGCGGCCAACCCGGTTTCCCCTCCCCCCTCCAAGCTTTCCTATGCGATCTCCTAACACCTTTTAAATGTCCAAAATCCGGTGAAACCCAAAAATATCCACCTTACACCGACCATGTTTCCCATCGTCAGTTTCATTTATATTGCCCAGTACCAATGGGTTTCAACAAAGACTGTTTATCACAGTCTCCTCGCAATGGTAACTGTATCTTTTGGGTACTAGATTACTTCACTCAAGACAAAAATGACCGTGAGTCCGTCAGTCTCGACAACACAATAATATGTCTAATCTGCTGCAGCCTACGTACCCCCCGTACAGTCGGCGATCTCTTCTCTTTCTTCCTCCATGCTGGGTTGTTCTTGTATCTTGGTGGTAGTTCCAGTAGTGTAGCTACTGCCATTGAAACTGCGAGTCAAGACATGCCCCAAACTCCCAATACAGAATGTAAGCAGATAACCACAGCTCTCAACAAACTAGCTGGTAAAAAACACAACGGTAAACACACCGCCGATGCCGACCTCTACACCCTCTACAACAGTGAATGTGACAACCCCAACACCTGTGGCAATTACCTCCAATCGCTCTCCTATAGTATCTATTGTAATATTTCTACAACTTTCGCTATGTCCTATCTATCACTTATTGTTTATCTCACGGATGTCCTCAAAAAAGGTCTCCAATCACTATTGGATGACTTCCGCAAACTTCAGTGCACCGATTGCCACCACGGTATTAAAAAGTGTGACAACGATTGCCACTATCCCGAGAAACCGAAAATGGAACAGCGCGAACTTTTGAAGCTAAAGTTTCCACCTGCGCAAAACAAACCCTGCTCATGCCCCTCCATCGTTCAATGTCATGGTACTTTGTCCTTACTGTACCAATACGGCTTCGTATACTACAAACACTCTGCTTTAAATGGACAACCATCAAACCAAACCAAAAAGCTCCGTAAATGCAAAGACTTCTGCATTGAACTTCAAAAGTTACTTTTTCAAAGTGTGTTATTTAGAGAACTCCTCGACGCAATCAACGCATTCCTCTACTGCATCCGTAAACCCTTCCTCCTGTACCTCCTCACCTTCTACCTACTCGCCATCATCTACCTAACATACTCACTAACAATACCACTCGACGTTCTACACCTACGGTCACACCTACGTACTGCCGTGCTATCACCACTAGTGCTACTCACCAACTACACACAACCACATGACATCACATACTTCAAACCGTAATCTAATACTCACTCTATTCGACACCTCACCTACTCACTCCAATACTACCATCCATCATATAACTACAACCTCCTCATAGAAATCAACCTCTTCGTCACCTTCTGGCTACTCGCCATCACCTACCTAACATACTCTCTGACAATAGCACTCGATGTTCTACACCTACGGTCACACCTACACAATGCCGTGCTATCACCACTACATCTACTCAGCAACTACACACAACCACATGATATCACCTACTCACTCACCTACTACTACAATCCATCATATAACTACAATCTCCTCTCAGCAATCAACCTTTTCGTCACCTTCTGGCTACTCGCCATCATCTACCTCCTCTACACACTACTCGTCCCCCTGGACCTCCTCCACATCCTCTCGCATTGGCGCCCAGCCAACACCCACCACCTACTACCACCTCAGCAATCAACCACTTCGTCACCTTCTGGCTACTCGCCATCACCTACCTAACATACTCACTAACAATACCACTCGACGTGCTGCACCTACGGTCACACCTACTCACTGCCGTGCTCACACCACTATTACTACATACCAACTACACACAACCACATGACATCACATATTTCAAACCATAATCTAATACTCACTCTATTCGACACATCACCTACTCACTCCACTACCCACTACTCCACCTCACCTTCTGGTTACTC